CAGGATCTACATTACTCAGGAGGAAAAGGCACTCCCAGGACATAAGCCTATGAAAGACAGGCTTACTCTGTTGATGTGTTCCAATGCTACTGGTGATTGCAAAGTGAAGCCTTTATTAGTGTATCACTCTGAAACTCCCAGAGCATTCAGACAAAAGAATATCCTCAAGGCTAATTTGTGTGTGCTGTGGAGGGCAAACAGTAAGGCATGGGTCACTAGGGACTTTTTATATGACTGGTTACACCATGCATTTGCCCCCAATGTGAAAGATTACCTAACTGAAAAGAAATTAGACCTTAAGTGCCTCCTGGTGTTAGACAATGCCCCTGGTCATCCTACAGACGTGGCAGAGCGACTTTATGGGGACATGAGGTTCATTAAGGTGAAGTGTTTGCCTCCTAATACCACTCCTCTCCTGCAGCCCATGGACCAGCAGGTTATTGCAAACTTCAAAAAACTGTACACAAAAGCTCTGTTTGAAAGGTGCTTTGTAGTGACCTCAGAAACTCAACTGACTCTAAGAGACTTTTGGAGAGATCACTTTAATATCCTCAATTGTGTAAACCTTATAGGTAAGGCTTGGGAGGGAGTGACTAAGAGAACCTTGAACTCTGCTTGGAAGAAACTGTGGCCAGAATGTGTAGACCAAAGGGATTTTGAAGGGTTTCAGGCTAACCCTGAGAGGAGTATGCCAGTTGAGGAATCCATTGTGGCATTGGGAAAGTCCTTGGGGTTGGAGGTTAGTGGGGATGATGTGGAAGAGTTGGTGGAGGAGGACAATGAAGAACTAACCACTGATGAGCTGCTAGACTAACTTCAACAGCAAGAGGCCAGACCTGAGGAAACTGGTTCGGAGGAGGGGAGAGAGAAATTGAAGAAGTTGCCTACTACAAAGATTAAGGAAATCTGTGCAATGTGGCTGAAAGTGCAAACCTTTATGGATGAAAATCACCCTCACACAGCTATTGCAAGCCGTGCTGGTGACTATTACACTGACAATGTTGTGAAACACTTTAGGGAAGTCATAAAGGAACGAGAGGTACAGGCCACTATGGACAGATATGTTGTGCGACAGAAGTCCAGTGACTCTGAAGCTGGTCCTAGTGGCATTAAAAGAAGAAGGGAAGTAACCCCAGAAAAGGACTTGACACCTCAAGTCTTAATGGAAGGGGACTCCCCTTCTAAACATTAAGACTCTCTCCTCCTCCCATCCCATCAATCATCACCAGATCTTCAATAAAGGTAAGTGTCATGTAATTGTGCATGCCTTTTTCATTTTGTGTGTATTAAAATTAATATTTCATGTGGTAAAAATGTTTTTTTTTCATACTCTGGGGTGTCTTGCACGGATTAATTTGATTTCTATTATTTCTTATGGGGAAAATTCATTCGCATAACGATAATTTCGCATAACAATGAGCTCTCATGAACGGATTAATATCGTTATGTGGGGGTCCACTGTATATGGAATAGGTGGTAAGCTACTAAATGCTGTGAAGAGTTTTTATGAGGATAGTGAGGCTCAGGTTAGGGTGTGTAGAAGAGAGGGAGACTACTTCCCGGTAAAGGTAGGTCTTAGACAGGGATGTGTAATGTCAACATGGTTGTTTAATTTATTTATAGATGGGGATGTAAAAGAAGTAAATGCTAGGGTGTTTGGGAGAGGGGTGGGTTTAAATTATGGGGAATCAAATACAAAATGGGAATTGACAGTTACATTTTGCTGATGATACTGTGTTTATGGGAGATTCTAAAGAAAAATTGCAAAGGTTAGTGGATGAGTTTGGGAGTGTGTGTAAAGATAGAAAGTTGAAAATGAACATAGAATAGAGTAAGGTGATGAGAGTATCAAATGATTTAGATAAAGAAAAATTGGATATCAAATTGGGAAGGAGGAGTATTTAAGAAGTGAATGTTTTCAGATATTTGGGAGTTGACGTGTCAGCAGATGGATTTATGAAGTATGAGATTAATCATAGAATTGATGAAGGAAAAAAGGCAAGTGGTGCGTTGAGGTATATTTGAAGACAAAAAACGTTATCTATGGAGGCAAAGAAGGGAATGTACGAAAGTATAGTAGTACCAACACTCTTATACGAGTGTGAAGCTTGGGTTGTAAATGCTGCAGCGAGGAGGCGGTTGGAGGCAGTGGAAATGTCCTGTCTAAGGGCAATGTGTGGTGAAAATATTATGCAGAAAATTCAGTGTGTGTAAATTAGGAGAAGGAGTGGAGTTAATAAAAGTATTAGTCAAAGGGATGAAGAGGGGTTGTTGAGGTGGTTTGGTCATTTAGAGAGAATGGATCAGAGTAGAATGACATGGAAAGCGTATAAATCTATAGGGGAAGGTAGGCGGGGTAGGGGTCGTCCTCGAAAAGGTTGGAGGGAGGGGGTAAAGGAGGTTTTGTGGGCAAGGGGCTTGGACTTCCAGCAGCGTGTGTGAGTGTGTTAGATAGGAGTGAATGGAGACAAATGGTATTTGGGACCTGGCGAGCTGTTGGATTGTGAGCAGGGTAATATTTAGTGAAGGGATTCAGGGAAACCAGTTATTTTTATATAGCTGGAGTTGAGTACTGGAAATGGGAAGTACAGTGCCTGCACTTTAAATGAGGGGTTTGGGATATTGGCAGTTTGGAGGGATATGTTGTGTATCTTTATACATACATGTATATGCTTCTCAACTGTTCTATTCTGAACACCTCTGCAAAAACAGTGATTATGTGTGAGTGAGGTGAAAGTGTTGAATGTTGATGAAATTATTTTCTTTCTGGGGATTTTCTTTCTTTTTGGGTCACCCTGCCTCGGTGGGAAATGGCCGACTTGTTAAAAAAAAAAAATCTACACCACCCTAACACACTTACTTTAACTGACCTTTGATGCACCATCTATGATTTAAACTTATCACTTGCACTAACCCCTACCCTTACATACTCCTATCCCTTACACACTTTTAACATTCACACATTCCTACCCTTACACATCCCTACCTGCAAAGCTATATGACCCATATGGGTTTTGTGCTTAACCCCTTAACTGTTCAAATGTAGATCTACCTTCTTACCACTAGCGCTCCATACATATATCAACATTTTATTTTTCCTTCTTCCAAATTTGGCATGATTGGCCTGAGATGCCTGGTCAGTACAGAATGGGTCTTAACACTTGGTGTGTGCAGTATTAAAAAAGTGTGGGACCACTTAGTACCTTGTGGGAGCACCAGTTGAATTGAGCACCAGCTAGAGCAAACAGTGTGGCAAACACCAGGGATTCACTGATGCCATGTTGTTTTAACACTTCCCTTTTAAGATCAAAGTGATGTTGACCCCTAGTTTAGTGACTGAGATGGATGTGGCCACAAGTGGCCGAGGAAATATGAAAAACCTTGATAATAACCCATGTGCAACATTTATGCCACATCCTTTCAATTTTGATATCAATGGTAGTGTCATTCTGCCAAAATGTCCTATAACCTATGCCCTTAGTAAAGAGTAACAATTCTGGAACATGTGTAATATGTGTTCAGCAGGCCGGCTGGCTGGATGATTAACTTTGGCTGTCTCTATCTCTGTATGTCTCTGTTTATCTCTGTCTCTGTCAATCTCTGTCTCTATCTGTCAATCTCTGTCTCTATCTCACAAGTACACTTAAGTATAGTTATTATCCATAGTGTAAATTACCTAGGATAACCCAAAAAATCCAGACAAAGTGCTATACTGTGCTTGTAGATATAAGGCATAATAAGCATGACTTGTAAGTAATATGCATTTTCCCTTGTTCAGGAATCTGATGTGATGACTCTGCATCATTTGTAATATCTGTTGGTTCATGAGCAGCTCTCTGAGACAGAGAGAGAGACAAACAGACAGACAGAAGACAGACACACATGGAGACAGAAAGACAGATAAGCAGAGACAAAGAGAGAGAGAGAGCTAGACAGAAAGAAGACAGAGAGATACAGACAGACACATTTATTCGTAACTGTGAAAACAAATAAAGCCAAGGTTCCCTGGAGCAGTGCATGGTCATCAATATTAGAGTGCTGCACTGCCAGCAGTGGAGTGACACTCGTCTTACACCGTGCTTCAAGTAGTTTTATATATACTCCAGCATGTCTAAAACACTGCTGGGACTTGTAAATACTTTGTATATATTTCTAGACAATAGTATGTGACCAAGGCAGGTGAAAATGTTCACCTGTCAGTGTGTTTGTGACTATGTATTTGAGTACTACTTCAGTACCTAATATCAGTGTCAGAACAAAGATTGGATATAAAATCCTAAGAACTATACTATAAACTGCTATTATCAGAACAAAAAAATTATAAAAAAAAAGAGAGAGAAAAGGTATATCAGCAACACTTCTGCAAGTGGCAGGACTCCTCTTTGCTGGCAGGTGAGCATCCAGTGCCAACTTCATAGCCTTATATCTGTAAGTACTGACTAAAAAAATTTTTTTTTGGTCTTATTACACACACAAAATTGCCCTCTTCATAAAAAAAAAATGAAAATATTCTGAGTGCTGGTGATGAATACATACATAGATCTACGTTTGGACAGTTAACGAGTTAAAATTATTAAACTATTATTATCCATAACAATTCTCAGATCATAGATGACTGGTAAATTTGATATGTTTTTGTTAATGTAAATGTGAGGGAAATTGTATTTTCCCCACTCACCATTTATAAAACCAGTGCTTATGCTTTCAAGAGCTTCAGAGAGAGCTAAAGTAGTCAAGAAAGACCCCTTTATATGCAGTTATCTGGAGGTCCTTTCCTCAATGGCCATCCACTCAAAAATTATACATTATATTTAATGAAGTGCTAAACTTTTTTGGGTCATTTTGTACAAGGAATGGTGAGGCTCAGTCCTCTGTGAAGTCAGTCAGTATCCAGTCACTGAACAATCAGGTTGTTGGTGACTGCACCCTGCCCTCAAGGAGGTATTCCTGTTGAGAATGAGAAAGTAGAATGAAAGATGTAGAGCACATAAAATACTTACTTCAAGCTGCACCCTGCGCTCAGCGACTACTCTCTCTGTGAAATTCCCAAAGAGTCGCCGAGGGGGAAAGTAGAGCTCCTCGACCTAATGGATAAGAAAGCATAAAATACTGCTTATACAGGTCCTTCAGTTCATTATATCAAAACCTTGCAGGCATTTGCAAAAGAAAATATTCTTTTTAGAGTATATTTTGGTTTACATATGCAGAAAAATTACAAATCAGTAATCTTGTAATTTGAATTTAAAATACAGTATATATAGTATCTGTGGGTTCCACATACATGGATTCAACCAAATGTGGATCGACAATTAAAAAAAAAAAAATGCACAAAGTTCCAAAAAGCAAAATCTGAATTTGCTATGCACTGAAAACTACACTGAATCCACACGAATGAAGTGATGTGTAGGCACACTATGCTTCTTGTTTGAGCATTGTTTGCCTAATGACTTGTTTGTTTGCTACTTGTGGTGTGTGTGCACCCTGTGTGAAAAAAATGACTCCTAAAAAGCACTCTCTAAAAGGCAAAGAGGAAGCGTAAAGCGTTATGTCTCAACGAGAAAATAAAAATCTTATGTCTTTTGAAAAGTGGCATATCACCTGCCAAAAAGGGCTGTAAGATTGGTAAGAATACGTCGAGCATTCACACAATACAGCAGAAGCTGAAATTCATGGAGGTGCTGTGATAAAGTGCTTGCAAAGACTGATAAAGTGCTTGCAAAGACTGAGAAAGCATTGTGTGTGGGGCTAGAAGACAAGGCACAGAAGCATATTCCTGTTGATGGCAAAATTATGCATAAAAAGCACTTAGCCTCTACGAGCACTACTGTGAGAGGGTTGAGGAGAGCAAGAGGAAGGAGTTTAAGGCTAGTAAGGGATGGCTGGCTAGCTATGTAAAGCACTACAGCCTCAACAACTTAAACATCATAGGAGACTCGGCATTGGCTGATGCTGAGGCAGCATCAGCATTCCCAGAAGAGCTCAAGAAACTCATAGAAGAGAAAGGCTACCTTCCAGAGCAAGTGTTAAAGGATATGATCTTCGAGTACAATCCTTCAGTGGAACAAAGTCTCCATGTCACCTGAGGGATAACATGCCTACAACCACTGCAAGATTTGTTTGACGATGCAAAGAAAAAGAAGGAACATCTTCCTACAACAATGTTTCTAACTAAAGCATCTGCAATTGTGAAGTCTTGACCTTCAATGACTTAAGATCCTCAGCCCTCAACCTATACAGATCCTGACAGTGTTATTGAACCTCCTCCAAAACATCAATGTCTGCAACTGGACCCTGGTTCTTCTGACTTAGGTGATCCTTCTGACGTCCCATCAGGTTCAAGTTAGCCTGATGTCTCACTGCTTACCTGCAGTGCCATACATCTTGTTGCCTCACCACATCATCATTGTAGGCACTATACAGCAATCATCATTGTCTTCATCATCATCATCATCATCATCATCATACAAGGGTTACCAAGAGAGAAGAACCAGGGTTTCGACGAGTCATCATTATTCCCTAAACAATACAGTATAATAACTATTTACATAGCATTTACATTGTATTAGGTATGATAAGTGATCTAGAGATGATTTAAAGTATACAGAGGGATGTGTGTAGGTTACATGCAAATATTACCCATTTTATGTAACGGACTTGAGCATCCACGAATTCTGGTATCCCCTGGGGAAGGGGAGGGATGGTTATCCTGGAACCAATTCCCCATGGATAACGAGGGACAACTGTATTTATCAAGTTAATCTTATTAAATAAACTGCATAATTAAGAAACATCTATCAACTTTCAATATTACACTGACTGACGAGCAGCAATATGAGTGAAATACAGTGCATTAAATAAAGAGACTGGTAGTAGAAGAAATATGAACAAGTGGGACACTTCTATACAACCAGGTATAGAAAAAACCACACAAGTGGGACACTTCCATATAACAAAGTCTTCTTCTTTCAGTGCACCGTCCGTATCCCACCGAGGCAGTATGGCTCAAAAGGAAAAACAAAAGTTTCTCCTTTTAAATTTAGTAATATATATACAGTGGAACCTCGGTTTTCGTCGTTAATTTGTTCCAGAAAGTCTGACGAAAACCAAATTCGACGAAAACTGAAGCAATATTTCCCACAAGAAATAATGTAAATCCAATTAATCCGTTCCAGACACCCAAAAGTATTAACAAAAAATACATTTTATAGAGAATAACTGTAGTTTTACATACAGAAAACAATGAGAAATAAATATAAAGGACTAATGAAATGGATCAATGAACATTTAACCCTTTCAGGGTCCAAAGGCAAAATCTGAAGGGGTGCCCCAGTGTCCAAGAAATTTTGAATAAAAAAAAAAAAAATACAGAATTAAAGATAATTTTGTGAAGGTAATAAAACAAAAACAAAAATTCTGATCAGTACTTTCCGAGATACAGAGGTGGGAAGTTGACCCAAAATGACCGGGTGGCGGCAACATCAGCGACTTCCACAAAATCGCATTTCTTTATTTTACATTTTTTATACTTTTTTTCTTTTCTTTTCTAATTTTTTTTTCCTTCTCTAGTAACATTTGTGGCTTGTGAGATCAATATTTTATATAATGTATATATACATATATACACTCACTGTACTGAACACAATACCCGCACTAAAGTTATTATTATAATATTGTTTACCAGTATTGTTTACTACATTAAACATGCACAAATGTTGTATAATATTAATGTGCTATTATATATTTACATATGTACAGTCACTGGACATGTTTCTAGAACTGCTGCAGCCTGTGGAAGTCCTTGAAACAAGGTACCATGCACAGAGGTACCTTACATTCCTCGCACATAAACCGAGTGTCTTTGCGTCTTTGTTGCCATCGTTTTGTTTGTGCACAGACAACACATCTCTTCTGAGCAAATTTCTTCTTAGTAGCAGGAAGCTGTATTATGAAGTGATCACCTTCCCTCCTCAAATGCTTGGTTATTTCCTGAGGAGTTCGAGGACAGTTTTGTATAGCAGGTGTTGTTACCTGGTACTTCATTATGAGTTGTTTGACAACAGACAAACAAAATTCACCATACAGTGGTCTGTTGCTGGTCTTTATTTGGTACAAATTATATGCATTGAGCATTGAAATGTCCATGACATGGAAGAAGTTTCATGTACCACTTGTAACTTTTACGAACACAATCAACAAAGCCAATCTGCATCTCACATTTGTCAACCAAAAGCATGTTTTGGGTATAATCACTGTCACTGGCTTTCGAATATGTTCATTAGTCACTCTATCAACTTTGCCACTGTCTTGCATTTTGTTAGGGTGAATGGTTAACAACAATGTGACATCTCTTTTGTCATGCCACCGTAATGCCGTGATGTCACTGGCAGTAAACACCTGCACCTCACCAGCACGAGTGCCTGCGTTGAACCTGGGCATATGTTTACGATTAGAACGCACTGTGCCACACATATCTATCATGTTCACTCGCAAGAAATCACTGAGTAAAGGGCTTGTGTACCAGTAATCAGTATATAATGTATGCCTAAATAACAAAAAGGCACAATACCGTGACTGGAACGATACACAAATAACTGTGTACTTTGTCAATGGTCCAAGTCGGACCGAAACGTCGTTGTAAGCTTCTCTCTTTTATGTGCGGGTTATTTATGTATAATGTATGCCCTTTACCAAGATAAGGTGCCATCATGCTTCTCACTATGTCACCTGAGATACCCAATAACATCCTGGTATCATTCAATGTTTTACTTCCCATGTATATAATAATATCCAATACCAGGCCACTGTTACAGTCAGAGTACAAACCGTTTTATACCAAAGCGTTTCCTCTTGCTCGGTATATACTGCTTGAACAAAATCAAAGACTCGTCAATTACAAGATTCTTGAATGGATAAAAGTACATGTTGAACTTTTGTTTCAGATACATAAAAACATTTCTAATCTTGTATATCCTGTCACTTCTGTCAAGCCTGGTTTTGTCAGAGAAGTGCAACATATGTAACAGTAAGATAAACCTGTTCACTGGGATGATTTCACTGAAGGCCAGGGTACAAATTAGCTGATCTGCAGACCAGTATGATTTTATATTATGCTTATAGACATGAGGCAAAAGCATTATTGTTGCAAAATGCAAATACATTTCAGCCACAGTTGTCTCTTTCCACTGGTGTAGTCTTGACTGTGGTGATATATTTGCTATGGTGTACTCAAAATACTACTTGTTACTTTCCCTGACAATAGTTTCCATCAAGGGCTGGTCAAAGAATAGTTCAAAGAATTCCAGTTCATTTGCAGTGTTTACAAGGGAACAAGCTGGTAGGATTCCACTTTGAGAGTCATCAAACTGATGGGGATTGGGAACAAAACTGGAATTTTGTTGCCAATCCCAGATGCAGTTTGCTGGTGGATATTGGACATCATAAGCTGGTTGTAGTTGTAGTTGTGGTTGTGGTGTGGTGGTGATGCTCCAGTTTGTCCTTGAGCTGAGGAGTCAGCAGCATGGGTCCCAGCCTGGGCTGGCGAGTCATGCATGGCCGTGGCACTACCACTATCACCACCAATACCACCACCTACTGATGCCTGTGGTCTATCCATGCCAAGTGTAACCACATCATCCTCACTTTCACTGTCTATTTCTGGTGTAGGGCCACAGGATGTACTCCGTCCCCTGGGCACTGCATAGGGAACACTTACCAAGCACGTGCAGCGGCGTATATACCGACATTTCACTGGTGAATATGATTCCTCACTATCACTACTTGAATGATCATCAAGAGCAATAAAATCACAGTCCACATCACTATCATCATCATTACTGAAGCCTGAGGCCTGGCCACGCGAAAATATTAGTTTTCTCTTGTGACGAGGTACAACTGAAGGTTGAGGAACGTCAGGATTTTCTGCAATATTTTTGATATCCTGGTCATTGCTTTCAGTCACTAATTGATCAAAGCCATAGAATTCTTCTTTCCCACTTCCATCAGACTCAGAACTATAAGTTACGAAGAGGAGAGTCCCAATTCGCCTCGGAGTGAGAGCTGTCTCGGGGTGAGGCATGGTGAACAA